GCCGACACTGCTGGCTGCGGGCGCGCATGCGCCGGAACTCCCGGTGCCGGGGCTTCTCTTGCCGGCTCCACAATGGCCGTTAAAGCCGTTGCCGGCACCAACTCTGCTCTCGACCCCTTCTTGGGTGTCGGAGTGGAGCTTTTGGGACAGGCTGCAGTTGGGGCAGAAGAGCTACGGCCCTTGCCCGCCTTGCCCGCGGGGGGTCTCGGCGCATAGCCAGAGCTCCCCGGCTTGTCCGCGGTGCCACTCGGTGTCCCGTGGATCTTGGGGGCTTGCTCAGGAGATGCAGAGTGCGGCTCGGAGACCTCCAGAGCTTGGAGAGCCTTGTTGAACAAAAGGACTCTCAACCTCAGCTTTCTAGTGCGAGCTGTCATCTTCACGCAGTGACCACAATTGGCTGGGACATGAGTGTCCCCGAGACATCTGACACACCGGGAATGTCCATCTGAGATGGGGATAGCCTCCTGGCATTGGAGGCACTTCTTGAAGCCGGGTGATCCTGGCATCCTTGCGTCCTTTGTTGTTTATTAGTCAATTTCAGTCAGGAAGGCACTGACTGACCGCTGAAGAAAAAGCGGCTTTTTTTTTTTTAAAAGGGAACTACAACTAGAAACAGTATAACAGATAACTACCTAACACTAATCAAGTAACAACTATAACTAAGAAGGTTTTTCCCTTTCCCCTCAGAGAGGAGAAGGGAGCCTAAACTAACTCCGTCTGCGGCTGCGGACGGTTGGAGAGAAACTGACAAGACCGGACCACGCTCAGATGAAAGGCGCGAAGGGACACTCGCGCATGCGCGGTCCAGTAGGGGGCTACTGCTAGTGAAAATTCCTCCGGTTTGCGGCGCTGGGACGACCCCAGCACCTCGAGTGGAGCACCCTCGGGGACACTACTCGATGAAGAACCTTCACTTTCGGAACATCCCTTAATCCTCTCAGAAAGGAATACATGGATGCTGAAAGAATGCGCTCACGTTTTTGGAAACTGTTCCAAAAAAGCAGACGTGTTCTCTGGATGTGGTAGAGTTTTTCCGGAATGCCAGAAGTATCCCAGAAAAACTGTGCAGTCTAGACATAGCCTCAGAACACACTTAAAATCATGACTAGCATTCAGAGCATCCAGCTGCACACATTTACCCTGCTCACTGCGCTGCTGTGATGGGATGCAGTCACAGAAGACCCTTTAGGAGTGCTTCCTGGAGTGCTGAAGACACTGACACTCACCTCTATGCTCTCTGGGGCTTCTCACCACCCTGTCCTGCTAGGCCAGCTCACTTGGTCTTCACCCAGACAAGACAGAGAGCTGAAATCACTTCTCTCCCCACTCCCAAGGAACAATATAGACACTGCAACTCATCAGGTCCAAGGAAAATGCAGATCCCCAAATGGGATCAGAACCAATGTTCCCTCTAATTTTTTCCATCCATGTTCAGAATAAATTTTGTCCTGTGCACCAAAGCATGTGCAGATATGCACCACCATTAGAAACACATGCTGTTGGCTGCTGCCAACCACAGGTGCTTTGCTAATCAACTGGCATTTGAATTAGTTTTGCGTGTGTCATGAATCACGGGTAGTGAATGGTTGGCATGAGTGAATTAACAGTAAGTGAGCTGAAGAGAGGCCACACTAGGGTTCAAGTTATGGACTTGTTTATCACTTTGAGAAAAAGACTGTGTGCTGAGACAAGCAATACTGCACAAAGGAAGCAATGTTCCCAAACAAAAGGAGTCAACGAGGAAAGAACTTGACCAAGGACTCTCCGTTGCTTATCGTTCATGGCTAGGAGAGCAGAATTGGGTGTTGTAAGCAAGATGTTCCAAGATTGGTCGCAAGCACACTCGCAGGTGGTAAGATCATCAGACATCACCCCCATTCAAACTGTTCCTTGCCGATATATATCACACCATTTTGCCACATGAGTTGGAGTCCATCAATTTGGCATACTGGGGTGATGTCCACGTCAAACTTCCACCTCAACCAAATTCACCAACATTACTTGGGGTTTGGCCAGCCCCAGAGGACGAGTGGTATATGTGAAGGTGTTTATGTGTTAAACTGGGTAAGAATTAGACGCTAAATTGGGTTAAGAATTAAACAGTTAACTACTCAACTTAAACATTGCTTTAACCTGCTTTTTAATTGCTAATTACTAGTTTTAAATATTGCTTTTAAACTGCTCCTGAATTGCTTGTAATAAAGTTTGTTAAAGATATATTTAGTCACTGTGGATTTGTTGTTGTGTAAAGCCGGATCTAGTGGTCTGTTGTGCGGCCTGATCACCTGTGCAACAGTGCTGCCTTCTGACAGGTGGCTGCAGAAACACACAGCTTAGAGGGAATGTTGATCAGAACCCCAAATAAATCATTCAGATAAACCCCCTTAAACAATGGAAGGAGGATGTACATACTGATTGCTCTCCCCCAGGTAACAATCATTTACACTAGGCTTGATTGTAAATACAAGTGATTTTATTAAGCACAAGCAGTAGGATTAAATGGTTTTAAGTGAAAACAGGCAGAGCAAAGCAGATTGCAAATTTAAAATAACAGAAAATGCATAGCTAGTTCTAATATTAAAACTCAGTACAAACTTACCCTAAAACTGTTTTTATTTCAGCTAAACCTCTAAGTCAGGAAAGATCTTTCTTCCTGGGATCTGATTCATTTTCTTGGGAGAGCCATGCCAGTCAAAGAGACTGAAAAACTTTGCATCTTCAATAGACTTCAGTCTCTTTCAGGCGGAAATTCTGATTTACATTCTCCCCTTCCATGGAAAATTATCTGGTCAGCCCCTACCAGTTAGGGAGGTCATATGACTTCCTAAGACCAATCACTGCTAAGACTTAAAGGGCAAAAGGGGCTGTTTACAGGTGATTATCTAGACTTTGAGGGAAATACTCTTGATGACTTTCATTTGCACATTTAAAATCATAAAGCATTCCATACTCCATATCTCTAACTTTACATACAAGAGTGATACATATACCAAAATAAGGGCTACCAATCTAGTTGATTATAACATTGAGATTGATAGGTTACATGAGGTATTTTGTCCAAAGCATCTTCGAGTTATGCACATTTGTGTCCATAAATCAATTTTATAAAGCATGGGGGGAGGGGAACTCTCACAAATCATTCTACTGAAATTTCACTAGCTGGTTCTAATATTTTAACATGATTATCTAATAATTTATGTCCCACCATTTTAATCAGTTTATACCTGGAAAAATGTATACACTAGAATTTCACAACCCCAACTATGATAAGAGGGTCCTTGCTGGTCAGAAAGGTAACAGCCTAAGTTTCCTTTAATCTTCTAGGCTCTTCCCTTTATCTGGAGGTGATAGATTGGATCACCTTTCTCACAGCTCTAGATTGCAGTGTGAGACTGGTTTGGAATGTTTCAGGACATGATTGTGTTTTTCCCAGCTTATTGATGTGGGCAAGAGGAGAAGAGAATGGGGGTAGGAAGAGGTGGGGTTGGGTTGGGTGTTTGGGCGTACAGATGGAGTTGGGAGCAGAGCCTAAGGCAGAGTAGGAGTTAAACATTCCTCCTCCCCACTTCAGGAACATCTTTGCTATGAATTAAGCCTTTCAGGTACTGATGACCCATACTAAGAAAATATGTGTTCCAAAGACTTAAGATAGCAGTTTATTGAATCTCTGTTACATGCCTGCATCAGAAACATTGTAATTTGGGTGTGTAATTTGTTTCCTTAACAATTTTACTCTAAATCTTTTTATTTCATTCTTTTGATTATAGATTCTAAAGGACTGGTACAGTGTGCTCTTTTGGGTAAAATGTACGTTATAAATTGACCCGGGAATGGGGTTGGTCCTTTGGGTCTTAAAGAATCTGCTCAGATTTGGTAAAACTGATTTTCATAATCTCTCATTTGTGTAAGGTGTGGTACTGGTTGTGGCACAGGAGAAGCTGGCACATCTAAAGGATTTCTTGTGTGTCTACTTACTGGATAGTTGCTTTACAAATGAGAGGATCAAAGCAGGTGAATTGCTTAGAGATAGGGCTACTTAGAACCCAAGTCTGGGGGTCCACAACTGTAAAGGTTTGATGCTTTACAGTGGAGGACCCTCAGACTTGGGCTGTTGTCACGTTACTGGATTTTGAGGGGAGCAGCTAGGTCGCTGCTGCACCCATAGGTGGGGGTGTTGGCCCCAGAAAATGGTATAAAAGGGGGCCATGTGGGGTGTTGAATAGAAGTTTGCGGTCTGCTGATCCTGTGTACGCTATTTGTATGATTGTGTGATGTCTGTGTGTGTAGTTAGGAATCTGTAATCTGTGTGGAGACTGAATATTTCTCTGCATGTGGTTGAGCATTGAGCAGAGCCCGGCCTATGGACAAGCTAATCAGCAAGGCGCCTGCGGGACAATGGCACTCAATGGGCCAAGGACACACCTAAAGAATGAGTAGTAACTCATACCTAAGGCCTACCAGCAGGCAACACAGGAATAAGGTGGACCAGGTGACCTGCTATAGCCAAGAAGAGACCAGGAAGGAGGGATAAATAGGCCATGTGGTGGTCTCCATTTTGTTCTCAGCTCAGCACTTCATCCCAGAGGCAGCATTGCAGGGATTGAAGAGCCCGGAAGACCTGTGAACCATCCTGATCCTAGGATGTGCAACAAGAACTTTTAAACCAGCAGCTGTAACATCTCTGCTAGAGCCTGCATCGAGAACTGGGAGATTCGATGCATGTAACATACTATTCCTTTAACAACCTTACCCTCAGGCTTTTCTTTACTGTAATAATGAACCTTTAGATGTTAGATGCTAAAGGATTGGCCCAGCGTGATTTGTGGGTAAGGTCCAGAGAGTAAATTGACCAGGGATCTGTGGCTGGTTTCTTGGAACCGGACAGAACTTGTTCGGGGTAGGTGGGATTGGGTGCTAGGACCCCCCACCTCTGTATGAGGCCCGGGACCATCTGGGGCACAGATATTGCTGGGATGTCGGAGGGGTTTTGCTCGTGAGGCTTCAGGCAGGCGGCGGAAGCGCTCTGTGGGACTGGTTTGTGGCCTGTTTGGAGAGGTCACCAGTCTGGGGGCTGTAAGGAGCCCTGGATTTGAGCAATTCACCCTGAGAGGACGCCCTCAGCTGTGCCCAGACACAGCCCGCTCCGTCTCAGTTGTAAGTAGCCCTGTCTCTAAGCAATTCACCTGATTTGATCTGTTCCGTGGTGCCCCCAGAAAACCCTATTACATTAAAATAGGGTCTCTCCTCTTTGTGTTCTCTGAATTGAACCTTTGCTTTCTGTCAAAGCAATTATAGAGGTTCTGTCTTATGTGAACTGTCTGATGTGCAATAGGGTGTGAGTGTTCACTGAAGCTTCTCTCATACTCAGGGCAGCTATACAGTGTTCCATCCAATTTTTCCCACACATGTGCGGAATGAATTTGTAATGGGCACCAAAATGGAGGGAATGCATAACATACCTATTGATGCACAGAACAAAATTCATGTGGTAGAGGTGGGCCTTGGGTGGTTGGATTGTAGGAAGGGGGTACAGGGCTGGGACAGAATGGGAGAAAAGCTAGAAGTGTGGGTTTTGGGGTGCACTAAAAATGAGAGGTTTGAGGTACAGTCTACTGAAGGGCTACAATGGGGAAAGAAGATTCCCACCAGCTCTCTTTCCCCCAACTCAGGTGGTTGTAAGGAGGGGGAGAGGCACCTCTCCCTGCCATGACAACTCTAGGGCTGGGGCCATGGAATAGCTACTGGTCATGGGATAGCTACTAGTCCACTGGCCACAAGTTAGTGCATAGAGGCATCTCTTTCCACCACAGCACTTAATAGATTGCTACACATGGCCATGCAGCTTAAAGAGGACTTAGGTTATACAGTTCCTCGCCTATGTTGATTCTTTGATATTCAATGAGGTTTGCATTCTGACTGAAGGTTTTGCCAGTCAGAGCAGCAGAAAGTTTCTCTCTGGTGTAGATTCAGGTCTGCACTTTGACAGACGCTTTTGCCACAGTCAGAGCAGTTATAGTCTCTCTCTCGTGTGCATTATTTGATGTTTACTAAGGCTTGAGCGCCAACTGAAGCTTTTCCCACAGTCAGAGCAGTCAAAAGGTTTCTCCTCTGTGTGTATTCTTTGATGACTAATAAGATGTGAGCGCCGACTAAAGCTTTTCCCACAGTCAGAGCAGTTAAAGGGTTTCTCCTTTCTGTGTATTTTCTGATGACTAGTAAGATTTGAGCGCCGACTGAAGCTTTTCCCACAATCAGAGCAGTCAAAGGGCTTCTCGCCTGTGTGGATTTTCTGATGTCGAACGAGGTGTGTGTTCTGACTGAAGATTTTCCCACATTCAGAACAGTTGAAGGGTTTCTCTCCTGTGTGGATTCTCCTATGCCTAACAAAGCTTGACCTCTCACTGAAGCTTTTCCCACAGTCAGAGCAGTTGAAGGGTTTCTCCCCTGAGTGTATACTCTGGTGTACAATTATGGCCTGTCTACATTGGAAGATTTCCCCACAGTCACTGGAAGTACTGGGTCCCTTTTGATGGTCGATTTTCTGTTGAACTGTTTCTGTGTTTCTTTTTACTCTTCTTCTCTTGTGAGTAGATTTACTCAGCCCCTGAACCAGATGGATTTGTTGCTGTCTTTCTGGGCTATGCTCACTCTCACAGGTCTCTCCCTGCTCACGTCTCTGGAAAACATGCCCTTCAGATCTTTCCAATAGCATCTCACATAGAGATACTTGTTCCTGTCCTTCCTGAAGAAGACTCTCCTCACTGTTCTCCCTCAGCGTCCCATCACCTGCTGGAATAGAGAGATAATCTAGACAGGAGTAATTTTCTGTGCTGAGCCTAAAGGAAAACCCTGAAAGGGGAACAGAAAAGGGGGATCATATGCAAATAATGGTTTGAAAGATTACATAATCATGAGCTGAATTCATTCTCCTTCCTCACAACCCTTCCCCAGAGGAGAGAATCCATCCTTCCCCCATACTCTCTGACAAGAGTTAAAGATAGACTGATGGATCAGTTAGACTTGATGGAAATGCATAAGTGACATCTGCTATGAGAAGAAATTAGTTTGAGTCAGTTTAGCCAATTGCTCAACTGTGTGGCTGTTGCCGATGATCTCCCTTTCCTCACAACTCTTGCTTTGCCCAGGAGATTGTGTTACCCATAGATAAGAATTCAATATGGAGTTTGCTTGGGTTCCATTTTAATATCCCTCCTGTACAGGCTTTTTCCACCAAAATAGCCTTTGCACTCCTCTCTAATGCTTTTGCACCCCTCTCCTACCTATGCACCCAACCCTCTTTATGTTGTGCATGCAGTATGCAGGTGCACACTGTCCCATGATTCTGCACACCACCCTTTTGTTTTGCACCCCGTTTGCTATCTCTGTTTTCCTGCCTCAGAGGGTTTATAAGCTGTGCTCTGAGGGAAACTCAAGTTCGTCTGTCTGTCTATCCGTACATGTGTAGGTTATTGTTTTCCCGTGACGATCCACCAATTTGTTATCTGTGGATACTGGATTAAGATTGGTGAGGCTAGGCCTTGGTGCGGCAGCCACTGTGTGTGTGAGAATGCTCCACACATTGGATTATTGGCCGGTGCCAAAAGGACTTGGACTCTTTTATTCATCCTTAATCTTAACCACTGGACGGATCTACGAAGTCGAAGGACTGGTAGGAGCCTTGCCCAGAGGAACCGTACCACGACGAAAGCGTGGATCCATCGGCTCCAGATGTGCCGGTCCAGTCGGATCAACTCCTTGGGGGGATCTCCCTGCTGTCCTTCCTCATGGCTTTAAACTAGCCATGAGGTTGTAGGTCGCAGGCCTCAATCACTGCTTCCTATTGTAACGTATACCTTTTGTGTCAGGGATCTATCTATCTTCTTTTTCTTCTAGGAATAGGGTGGGATCGTTTCTGTTATTTGTTGCTATTGTGCTTTACCCTCTTCAAATGCATGATTTGGCCCTAAACTTGTATTTGTCTGATTTGTGACAACAATCCAGCGGTGATAGAGATATGCAGCACCAGGCCAGATTTGTTCTTCTGTGCAGAGACACCCTAACATCCTTAAATTTCCCAATTAGTCACATATTAATTGATTACCTGAGTCTCTGGAGTAACAGTTGCATGAGCTTTGGAGACTGGAAAACCTGCTTGGGGAGTAATTAACCAAGTGCTGGTCCCTGAGGTCCCTGCCATTACTGCTTCCAGACCCAGGATATGAGTCACCAACCCAGAAAGGTTCCTTCCCCACCTGGCAGAGATTGGATTCTGAATAGTACAAGATCCAAGGACATACTTACCTGTGGTAAAGATTCCTTCCCCTGCCTGAGGAATGGCCCAGCTTATTCTCTGGGGTAACTGAGTGCTCTGCTGCACCCCGTAGAGCAGTGGTCCTCAAAGTGTGGTCCATGGACCACTAGTGGTCTGCAACAATCTTGAAGGTGGGCTGAAGGCTTGGGACTTGCCTCCCAACCTCCAGTGTGAAGCTAGTGCTGGCACTATGGCTCCTAGCTCCTACCCCCAAGGCTGGAGTGCCAGCACCAGCTTCCCACTACAGGGGATGGGAGGAGAGCAAGCCTTGCGGGCCGAATATGACTTGAGGGAGAAGGAAATGGCTCCATGTGCTGCCACTCCCCCTTTCTCTGGCTGGAAAACACCTAAAGCAGTGGTCACCAACCAGCAGATCAGGATCTACCGGGAAATCTTGGAGCCTCTGACTGGTGATCCTGACTGGTTTGGCCAGGAAGCTATCAAGTGCTGGCACTTCAGTTGCTCTTCCACCCACTGTCATGCTGCTCCTGCCCTCTGCCTTGGAGCTGTCCCTTGAGAACCTCCTGCTTGCAGTGCAGGGTGTGGGATGGGAGGAGAGAGGAGGTGCCGATGTCAGGGTGTCCTTCCTCCCTCCACTCCTGTACCCTGTCTGCATACAGAGAGAAGGGCATGGCGGGAGCTTGGCAATGCAAATCTCTCTCACTCACACACTGTGCGTGTCTGTCAGTCTCACAAACACACACTGTCCTGACCCAACACGTACATTGGGTATTAGTCCTACTTTTACTGTTTGCAAAGTGGGTTTTTAGTTTTTAGTTTTGTGCGTATTTCCTAACATGCATTTCTTTTATGCTTAAAATTAATTCTTTGAGAAGTGAGCTCTAAAAAGCCCAACCTGTCATGTCCAGAGTAATTGTCCTGATGGTGGTTGTGGTCCTGGAAGTGGCTGGCATATCCCTGCAGCCCCCATGTGCTGTCCTTGCGTGCAGGGACTGCTCCTGCAGCTCCCTTTGATCTGTAGTAGAGCACTGGGGCCAGTGGAGACTATAGGGTCAGGGCTTGTTGTGGATGTGGAGGGATGGTGCACACCAGGTGCTTTGGTTGGTGGTGGTGGGGGTCTGCCTTGACTGCTGCTGGCTGTCCCAGTGCTCCCAGGGTTGGTGGGACTTGAACCCACCACCCTGCACTCCCCAGGGGAATGCCTCAGTCCCCTAGGCCACTCCAGAACCCACCTCATCTCCATTCCATCAGAGGGTCCCTTATCTTGCCTTCCTAATGTGGGAGCCAGGTGCATCCCTGAGGGAGCTAGTGTTGGGTGTCTGGCCACTCTCATGGTGGGGTGGAGGGACTTAAGCCCTCAACCCTACGCCACCCAGCAAATGCCCTATCCCCTAGGGCACTCCAGAACCCATCCCTCCTCACTCTCTTCCCACACTCCAAACCTCTTGGCCCAAGACCAGAGCCGGCACCCCCCAGCCTGGTGAAAGTGAACGAGATTCAGAGAGGAAGGGAAATGGAGTGAGCAGGGGGTGGCGTCGGCAAAGGGGATGGAGCAGGGGCAGGGCCTCAAAGAAGGGGTGGGAAGGAAGCCAGGCAAGGGTATTTGGGTTTGAGGTAGATCTTACATTGCACTTAAATTGAAAAAGCTATCTTGTGGTTAAAAAGGTTGGAGACCACTGACCTAAAGGCTTTCCCTGCTGCTCCCATTAGCCAGAATTATGGCCAATGAGAGCAGTGAGGGCGGTACCTGGGAGCAGTGGGAGGCATGGAGCCAGATGAAGGACTCCCATTACCTTCCCACTGAGATCCCATATCCCTATTCCTCTCACATACTCCCCTCCCGCTGATACTCTGCATGTCCATCCCACTCCTGCACCCAACCTTCTCTCCAGAACCACTGCCCTCAACCCACTTCTGCACCCTTCCTAGACCCCTCACTCCCAGCCCACTCCTACACCCCTTTCACCCAGACTGCTCCTGTACCCTAGCTCTCATCTAGATCACACACCCCCAATCCTTTTTTTACACCCATTTTGTCATCATAGGTGGTTGGCCTGTGGTCTACAAAAGGTCTGCATTGAGCAGTGTGGGCCATGGGCCAAAAAGTTGAGAACCACAGCTCTAGGGTACAACTAAGTCTCCCTCATGGCCCATTCCATTTCCCCACCCATCGCAGGCCAGGATAGGAACAAGCTACTCAAAAGGTGAGCTCTAGTGAGGGTTTGCAGGTCTGACACCATTGCCCACAGATAGATTTCAGACTGCAGTGGCCACACCGCAGGTCACTAGAACTCTGAGAGAAAGGACCCAGCAATTCTCCAGCTTCAGCTACCTGAGGGCTCTGTCCACAAAGCTCCTGGCTAGGGTCCTCGGCTCACCCTACTCATTGGCTGAGATGCTCTACTGCAATCAGAAGGAGACAGAAGAAGTTGCCTGAGCAGTGAGGTGAATCCTTGGCTGGATGCTTCGACCCTGCCTATGATCCACACTTCTAACCTCTGACTGCTTGTGGCTAGGTGGGCTCTGCCATTGCCCATAATAGCTGCTGCTTCCATGGCTGGCTATGGCGGTGTTTGGATTTGCTGCTTCTTCAGGGAGTGTGGCTGTTGCTTTAGCTGATCTCCCCTTCTGCTGCCTTGGTTCTACTCTGCCAGCAGCAGCAGCAGCGTATTTGTGTGGTTTCCAGCCTTCCTCTTGTGGCCAGCCCGGACTGCCATTTCTTGTTCCTCTCAGCTGCACAGAATCTACCATTCACATTTTTCCCATCTTGTGGGCGCATTCCTCACACCTTCAGCCAGACCTCTTCTCGGATCTTCATCTAGTGCTAGGAAGATCCCCTTGTGATGTTACAGGATTAAAATATGACCATGTAGGCCATCTGAGCTACCACTGTTAAACAGTGTCAACAAAACTTGTGCAAAGTATGTTATGTCAGTGGGAAAGTTCTGATGTGATTGTGTCCTGTCAGTATGTAGACATCATTTTTGTACCTCAAGTTATGAACATGGACCATGCACCAGTATTTCAAATATGGTCACTGCTGTGGAAACACCTACAAAGTAGTTTCCATCCAGTCCAGCCAGCACACTGTGAACAGAACATTCAGAGAGATGGTCCATCAACAAAACTCACAGGCCATGGAAATCTCATCCCTACCAAACTGACTTTCTCATAGACTTTTTAACCAGATAGTGGGCATCAGAGCAGGCAAGGGCATGTGACCAGCTCATGTGAAACTCAACTCCATCTGGTCCCTGTGCTTTTCAACTCACAGTGCTGAGGGCTTTGGTTGGAACAATGAGTTCCTCTCCACCTGTGTTCCCTGTAAGCTGTGCACACATGTGGCTGCACAGGATTCATGCGACAACTAGCTGATCAGCAGAGCCCGCACAGCCAGCAGCATGTGTTGAGGTACCCATCCCCCACCTTGCACTGTTCTGCAGCTTCTCCCAGGAGGGACCCTCCTGCTAGCTACATAGAGTAAGAGGTCAGTGCAGATCTCAGTGTGTTCCCTGTGCCTCTACCCCAACTCCACAGAGCAGGACAGAGGGGGATAGAGCCTGGATCAAGAGAACTC